TAAGCACATAGACAGTAAAAGAGTAGTATTAAAGGTTTTATAGCCAGGGTTCCGAAACTTTGCATTAATGAATTTCTTGAAAAAGAAATGGTACCAGGGATAAACTGCCCGTAATGGAGCTGGATCGCACTTATCGACAAAGCACAATCAAAGCCCTATCATACAGTCGCATCGAACATTATATGTTCGACAAAAAAAATCGCAGATGGTGACAAGAAGCGCGACATGTCGTCACCCTCTGCGACATCCATTAAGTCAGGATGCACATTGTGCTGTGCCTAACATAAATTTGTTCAAGTCATCACCTCTTCCCATTTCACCATTGTACTAGAAAACTTTCTGCTTTTTGCACTTCTGAAATTCGTAATTCTACGGTTTATAATATTAACAAATTGCGGGAGACATTTATTGTCATTACGTATTGTTTGTCTTTTTTAAGAAATTCATCACAGAAATTTCAGAGCTGTGGCTGTTGAACCTATAGCAGTAAACTTTTTTTGTTCGAGTGATTATGCGCGTTAATGTTTGAATATTTATGAATTTGTCTCCGCTTGTAGGTTTACCGTAAGCTTTAGTTTGTTCTAGTTACAAGTGTTATTTATCGAGATGTAGAGAAAAAATCGAAAGGAGAAAGCTTGTAACCGTTAGAATGATTGCCTCTATTGCCTTGATCACAATTCCACGAGAGAGCCATTTTTAACGCCCTTCTCTTCATAAAGTTGATAGTTTGGCGATGATCATTTCATTTCCCTGCGTTCAGCCAGGAATGCCTTATTTTAAACGCAGAATCTACAACTATATAGCAGGCATATTGTGTAGTCTGCTGTTTCCTTTACGAAGTGCTATTCATCTGTCAACATCGGAAGGAAGGAAGACCAGTGATCCGACCTGGGCTGGAACCCGGCATGCAACTCTGCGTTCGACTCTCTACCGGCCAAACAACTCCATTCTATGTAATGAAAGCAAGGCTGAAATTTTACAACCTAACCAGGAGTTTCTTTGAGCATGTCGTGGCTGAGGTTTCCAACTGTTGATAGCGCTTCTTCATGCGATCGTCCAGTACTTTAAACAAGAATGGAACTTTCGAGTGCTCGTAAGATTTTGTCCGAATGACAATGTAGACGTAGGTACATGGTATAATTAACTATTGGATATTGAATACATGGTGAAAAATAGTTGCATATTCAAAATGGAGTTTTTCGAGACTAACTGATCTGGAGGCCATGCTTTTCGGTCGATAGTAGTTTACCTCGAAGGTTCTGCCGCATGTCACACTCGCATAATGTGGTTTAGTTTGTTCCCTGCACTTGAGGACTGCTGACAGGTTTCCTTGTCTCCTTGTGTGGACGAACGAAAGTAGTTGAGTGAACCATTGACTCACGTTTCTCGTTTTTATCCGTTCTTAGAATTATAAGGAATATGTTGATTCACAGATTAACGCACTGTCGACCTTAAGGAGGGGAACAGTCAACTGTTGAAAACATTCAGTTTAACGAAAACTCTTGCTTGGATCGTACCTTTGCATGTGCTCAGTTCGATTACCATGACAATCTTGTGCATTTAGTATATAGCAAATATATGTGTCCTTTCTGAGTGACGAACTTAAACAACGGTGCAGGCAACAGGCAATATTATATGATAATTGGAGCGAAAAATATTACTGCTGTTAATTTGATTTGTTGTCGGCGGTGTTACAAAGCGATGGCTCATATCTAATTATCAACAAATCAGAAGGGTTACATTCTGAAAAACGGATCAATCAATTAGTTTAAAACCGTTGATCTCATGCGAACTTTGGCATTTACTTCATTACCCGATGCTGCTCTGACGTTCAAAGCTGAATTGCCTGTACAGAAGCTGTTTCCTTGGCTATTGCCGCCTCCAATCTCTGCGCCAGTTTATCTAGTATACTTCTGATTACTGTTTTTCCCTCTCAGTGATCCAAGTGGCACGTATATCTATGGGACACGGATTCCTAGCCATTTCAGCGATCACGATATTTTAAATCATGATCGTGGCGATGACCGACATTCTCTTCCGTCACATCGTTGTTAGCAGCTGGTTAACGGCCTGTTGCTGCTTCCGCTTTCTTTTCCAGCTGGTAATCCGCTGATCGATTTTCTACTTTACTTTACAGAAGGATGACGCGACTGATGCTTCTCGTCCGCATTGCTGGTACGGAGAAAGCTGTAAGTTTCATAATTATGGCAAAACACTTATTTCACGAGTCTTTGGCCGGTGACTCGTTTCATGTATATGCTTTCGAGGTCGAAATTCAAGTCGTCATTCATTGTTAGAGGTTGAGGTACAGCTGGTCACTTATTAGAATGTTCTCAGACTACTGCGTTAAGTAACCAGAGACCAAGACTCTGATACAGTAGTTTGTCAGTTCATATTTCTTGTAAATGGTTGTCTTTTTTTTTTACTTTATCTCCGTGAAGCAAGGTAATCGTGCAGCACGGTAGAACAGCCACGTTATTCCACATTGAGCAGGTATCTTCGTATAACTCGGAGACTTCCATTGGCTCATACATACGATAAGTGATTTGCTGGCCAGTAAACGTTATCAGTTGCCTCTGAATCTGTGGGTATTTATAACTGTTGATCATAATTTTATAATAATTTACCGGAGCTAATTAATGTTAAATGGTTAAATACAAGCCTTTACGCTGTCGTAGCGACTAAAGGTGAATGAAACCCACCGTGCTTCACTCTGTCGAACAATCACTAACTCTGTGCGTTGTTTGCACCCGCTGCCGGAAAACAGCCAAAGGATGTTGAGCCGCTTCCTCAGTCCTCAGTCATCAAAATCTACAGCATCCTATGTGTTATCCGACCCGTTGATTAAAACAATAATTTCAGTTCATAATTCTTCTCGCAGAACTTTCGTCTAACTTGGGTTTTGGTGTTGGAAAATTCTTGTGACTGCTTGTTTTTATGCATTGAAGAATTTTCAAGGTGTTTTGGGGGTTCAGCCAGTTTTTCACCTTACTTTTCTGGTAACTTTCCTGTATGTAGATTAAATAATTTTTTTACCCTATTTTTGATCATGTAACAGTCATATGTCTTGTACCTCATGTAAGTCTACTTCGTTAAATCGTTCTTGACTTGCTTTGCTAGTGTGTGCGGTTGTGTTTTGAATGTCTTTTACTTCACCTTTGGAAAAGGTTAATTTTGTTGAAAACTGTTCGTTTTGCAACTGTTTCATTGTTTTTTATCCTCTTCGTCTGTTGTTGTTTTGTCGTCGTTTTCTGAGGCCTAACAGAACTTAGGCAAATGGTAACCCAGACTTGGGACTTCTGATTTGGATACAGATCCACAAACAGCTGAAGGCCTTAAAAACATACCGACACAATTTCGATGCAAAGGAAGTGAATTAGCCTCGCGTTTTCTGTATGTCACGTGCTGCAGTGTTTGTCTGTTGATTATTCTTGAAGCAGACATTTTGATAAAGGTTGATTCTTGCTTATGGCAAAAATAATTATATTCTAATGTTAAAAAACCGTTCGTTACTCGGATAATATTTGCAGTAAAGTCACCGACGGGCATTTAGTACGCTTTTTAATGAATACGGCAGGATACTTATTATCTTTAATGTTGAAGTCTGATTGAAAATACCAAAAATCTCTTAAAGGATAAAACCTTATAGTAACTTATCGCATAAACGTCATACGTTGTTCCTACATCCGAGTATCTCAAAAAGCGAATCACTCTTCCAAGGCTAGATTTAACGGGATGTACTGCACTGTCTCCTTGCTCCTGATTGTCTAAAGTGGGGGGGGGAGGATTATTCACTTCGGCACGGCTCCATGATATTTTAGAACCTGCAGTTCCAGACGCATCTCGCAAGAATTTGTCTGTCAGAATTATCTGGTGCTCATGATGAACAATGTTTCAGGACCTGTTGCTCCTCATAAACTATTGCATGTGCATCAGATGTTCCTCGTACTACTTTAAATGCTCAAATATCACTCAGCCATGTTCTGCTTAACTGTTCCCGTGTTCCCGTTAGCCGTAAAATCTCTGACTCTTTGGAAGATTTTCTTCAATCTTCAGGAAGTAACATGAGACAGTGCTAAAACGGCTTTTAAGAGTATGTAGCGTCTTAACTTTTATACGTAACTGAGAAATCAGTATTTAGTATTTTTTGATATGGGTATAAACTGTTTGTAGCTGGCTTAGTTTAAACTTGGCGTTAGTCATTCAAAAAATATCACTCTGGCTTTTGACCCCTGTTGATTTACTAATTTTTTATGGCCAGCTAAACGTTTCGAAAGTGTGCATTTAGGCTTATTTGAACTTTCACGCTAAAGGTTTATTTCAGAAAATATTTTATATCTATGAACGTGATTCTGTGAGTATGCCTAATGAGTGCTCGATTTTCTTTCAGAATATCGATTAGACTTCTTTGAAAATTTCAGGTGTCCCTTTGAATTACGCAAAGAATTGCATTTCATCAGCTGAGGTCAAGATCTGTGTATGTTTCAGCCAGAACAGAACTGTATTGAAGATTTATAATCCCAGCGCATTTAACGAAGTTCCGCTGACTTTAAACGGTGGTACTTGAATTTGCTTTAAACAGTGACTTTAATTTTGGTCTGCTTCCGGTTTGTCTCTTATTTTAGCTATGGAGTTCTCCAGTGGTTTCGCCTCGGTTCATTTTTGATTGATAATGTTTTTAACAGTTTTTTATTTCATGTTTTTTGCTGAAAAATGGAATTCTTTATCAATCTATTCCATACCATGACAGAATTCTCGAAAATGTCTTTATTTTTAATTGGTTGTCAGAACTTTGGAACGAGTAATTCATGACCTCGTGTATACGGCCGAATTCTTGTTTCTTGGCAAATGAATCTTCGTTGCTGATCCCTTAGGCATATTGCGGGTGGGCGGGTGTTGTCTTACTGAATTGTATCGTTGTTTAGCCAACTTTGATATATGAGTTTTTCATAGTTTCACAAGAATTTTTTTACGAAAAATTTCGTTATCTCTTACTACTGAGAAGTTATCAGTTTTGAGGAGGTATATGTTAATGAATTTTCTCCATGACTTAAATTGTCCTGTTTCCCTCAGTCGATACTCCCGTTCGTTTTCTCTCTTGATGATATTTAAATTAAAGAATTTGTTAATAGGAAAGTGACTATGATTCTTCATAGTTGGAGAGACAGCTTGAGACGCATTAATGACATTTTTAATTACTGAATTGTTTTCTCGCTGTTATTCTTACAGTTAATGATCCAACAAACCTGTCCGGTTTTCGCCATTCCCTTCTATTAAACAGTAACATTTAATCCAGCGCATTGGTTTTGCGTTTACAAGTCAGATAATCTGTTCTGTTACAGTATGCTTAGTAATTCGTTTATTTTTTACGGTTGCAGTAATTGATACAGACCTTGATCAGCGAAGTATCACCGATTTATGACTGATTCATACAAATGCTACTTCATATTCATGTTGAACAATGGTCATGTTTGTCTCCCCTCAAGCGGATTTACCTCAATGAGATGTTATATCGTCGGTTCAGGTACTCGGCGTTGAAATTCTTATTTCTTAATGTTTCTTAATAAGTGTTTCATGTGGTAGTGGTTTTGATCGTCCACCAGCGCCAACATTTGATTAGAGTAGTTGTGAATTGTGGCCTTCGCGATGCTCGTTTTACAGTGAGGTCATCCGAAATCCGATACAAACGCGAATACAAGGATAATGTATATTTATGATAATAGTAACTGCTTTGTTGTCCCTCGATTATTTGACGTCGTCATTAAACACGCTTGAGTTGCTCGTTACCAATTTTTGTCCATTTCGAAACTACACTGTTAACTGAACAAGCTGCTGCTTGCAATGAGTCAGCCGTGAATATTACCTTTGAAACTAATTATTGCAGAGGAAACAAATTTGTTACTACAACCTGAACAAATCCATTGAACTAGAATTTAACTCAATAAATATACTTTATAGAACTCTATAAATGAACCTTTTGACTTTTCAAAATGCATGCATAAAGAAAAGCGATACGGATTTAATTTTCTGAGTCAAAATTTAGTTGTTGTGTGCAGGTAGGCGATGTGAAGAAAATCTTAAGTGTTATTTTTCGAAGGTAGTCATGAAAGCGACATGTAACTGAGCAGAAAGCGCACAGAGCTACATCGTTCCTCTAGCCGATACAACGGATCTTTCTACCATAAGGTGTTCTGGGGTCGTTTATGAAGATATGCTTCTGCTTGGTGATCTGGGGCTCATCGAAGAGTTGGGTAGCATCATCAGTAGCTTCGCTGAACAGCGACATTCTCAAAAATGCTCTCAGGGATGAATAAAAAATGAGCCAGAAACATGTTTAATAAACGAGGCTTTCGGAACCCTCAGTGATGATTCTTGTTCAACATAAATGAGTAATGTACAAAGAAGATATCTTAATCACGGATAACAGAAATCAGCACGTAAATTTAACTGTGGCATTATAAGAAATGAATACGCAGTGTACAAAGAGAATGGATGAAAGCAAGAAAATATTAGAAAAGCAGGAAATAAACGGCAAATAAAAAACTAATAAAATTAACCAGTAAAAATTAAATGATTTAAAATGAGATTCCAGCTAGGTGAAAGTTGTTTTAAGCTCAATTCCTCGTTTACACGATGTCCACCCAATGCTTTAATGAGGGTGATACGATTATCATGAGCCCGGCAATGGTTTGTTTCCCAGATTTGAGATCTTCCCGTCCTTGCGGTCAGTAAGTTTGAGTCTGTCAGTAGCATACTTCACAATGAGAAAATGTTCTTCAGAGTGTCCATGCTCGAACTTTATCATATATTCTGTCAGGTTTTCTTACACGGGTTCTAGCAACCTTTTTTTTCATACTAATGTAAGCGTTTTGACAGCCATACAATCCATTTGGTAAACAGCCCAATTTTTGAAAATA